ACACGAGGTGTTTTTATTTTGAGAAACCTATACACCAATTGCAATTCCAAAATGTGAACAAATTTTTTTTTGATTGAAAATGAGATTTCAATTTTATGTCCCAAAATATAATCTTGACTTGGAAGAAATTCTACACAAAATGTGATTTCAAACCCATAATTGAAAATTTAAATAAATCCATCTGTTTTGTAGGGCCAAATCAGAGGTGTTTGAAATTTGCATTCAAGACTCACTATCAAGAGTGATTGTCAAAATTTTCAATTATAAGCCTAGATCACCCAGGGCATTCAATCGATTTTCGCGAATTTCCAAAAATGAAAGTTTCAATCAAAAGTGAACAAGTAAGGGAAGAAATCATACTCATAGTGGATGACGACTCTTCTTTCTTCTTCAATTTTTTTTCTTTTTTTTTTCTAGTCACATAGACACGCAGATGTACTTGTGAAGTTTTGACACATAGGGGTAAGGATCCTGTAGGCTTAAGGCTCCCATCTCAACGAAATAGTAAGCCTTTTCCCAATATCGCGAACTGCGGGTGGGTCGGACTTATTTCTTTCGAGGAAATGAGCGGGATCGAGAATGATTGTCCCATTGGCGCAAACTGCGTATGGTCCAATCAATCCTCGACACCTCCTAAGGGTTTCCTAAGGATGCGGTCGGGGTTTAACCGCGGGTTGTGTGTGTAAAGAGTGTAGTGCTAAAACAAGTATAAAGGCATGCACATCATTTTATATCAAGACAGCACTTCTATTTCATTAACATACACATACATTCCTTACTCCAATCTGCAAAACAAATGAATTAACAAAGACTTCACCCCTTATAACTCCCCACCTGCAACAACATTTAACGCAAAAGTTAGTGTACTTACCTCAATCTTCACAATGCACTGCCATAAAAACACGTTAGTTAACAAACAATCGAGTTTATTAGGCCTAAGTCCTCACGTTCCCCAGTGGAGTCGCCAAGCTGTCACGACCTAACCCTCGAGGGCCTCCTCGGGAGAAATAGGTTTAGAGGTACTTTATTGGACTCTCCCTAAGTCCATACCTCGCGTGACATTGGTTGTTTAAATCTATTTGTTCAATAGGAGTCGCCACTAGCTACGATTAAAGGTCAGCTAGAAACCTTAATCGAGATACGGGAGTGTTATCTCGAAAACATACGCAACCAGAGATTCTTAGGGATCGGGGATTTGATTACACTAGTTTTTCGACTAATGCCCTTTCGGTACCTAAACTCGACTATTTGCTAACCAAAATATCACGGCAGTCTTTACTAATCGAGAATTTTGAATTTTCATCTTAACCATTCTAAAAGGGGAAAACACCAATCAATGAATTTAAAGTACACAATCAAATGAAATCAAAATGAAAGTGCACAAACAGCGTCCTAGCATCGTCTCTAAAAAAAACAATAAAAAATCCCTAAGGTAAAGCCCTAAAGGCTTATGCAACTTTGGGTACAAATTTTATTCAAACCTAAAGTGTTTATTAAAAGCCCTAAACTAAGTGAATTCCAATTTTTTTTAGCTTTTCTCACACATTTTTTTATTTTTTTTGAATTTTCTGATTTTTATTTTTATTTTTTATTTTTATTTTTTATTGGGAAATGGATTTCAGACCGGGTCTAAGAACCCGGTTTGATTCATTAGTCCGACCTGAACCCTGATGGTCCGGGCTTGGTCAATTCGGGCAAGTTCTTGGGCCCAATAGGAATAAGGCTCAAACTATCAAATTTCAGTTTTTATCAACCTAGGCCCAATTCAGCCCATTCAATTGACTTGACAGACGGCCCTTTACACTTTTGCTCCGCCTAAATCACAACGTGACTCGGTCTCCATTATAATCAACTCTTTTTACTTCTTTTCTATTTCCTTTTTTTTTATTTTTCTATTTTTTTATTTCCTTTTGGCCTTCCCCTCTGCATAGTCTTCTCCCTCGATGTCTTCTTCACCGAAAGCTCACTTCCCTCACGCCTTCACTGAGAACAATTATTCCGGTTAACTCCGTAACACCGTCGGCCTCAAACTTCAATCGTCAACATCAATAATCACGGCCAACCAATAACCACCGGCCACTAGTTGGCCGACGGTTTCTACATCGTCGGACTAACTCCGGCGAAAAATTCTCAAACTCAAAAATCACGTAAACTGAGACTCAATCGCACGTAGGAGATATATATGCAAATCAAATCGTGAGAGATGGACTAACTGAAGCGGCCTCTAACCGCAGGCATCGCTCCGGCAAAAGTGGAATGAATCTCCGTCGAAGGTTCCATCAATGGCCGACTCGGAAAAATGATGAATATGCCATAAAATGAAGGAAAAACACAGATTCAGTATTGATTCATCAAAATAGGACCTAATCAAGCACAAAGGACGAGTTCCATGCGTTGATTCCACAAAAATCAATTCGGTTCTTCTTTCAAGCATTTTGTCGAACATATGATATGCAACTTCAGAAACGATTTTCCGACTTAATTTTCGAACGATTTTCAGCGTAAACACAATCTATAAAGTTCTGAATCACCAATATATTCCACAAATCCGCTTCAGTTTCACATGATTTTGACCAGAAATCATTCATTCAATTCGGCGTTCTATGCCTCAGTGTAACAGAGAAACAAATCATTGTAAGCAGAAGGTTTACCTGGTTCGTGGACAACGCCTTCACGGTAGTCTACGAACGGGACCGCAACAGAACTTGGCGTCTTCCGACACGGCGAAGAAACGACGAACAAGAATGCCTCGTACGTCCGAAGCGACGAACAACTTGGAGGTTACGGATTCCGAATCCAAGGAAGGGAAGAGATGGATCAAAAGGTAGGGTAGCAGCTGCAAGAGTTCTCCGACGATGGTGAACAAACGATGGAAGAAGGGGAAGAGATTTGCCGGAATTCTTCTACGCGAGTAGAAGAACCGAACGCTCTCTTCTCCAAGACCCTTCTTCCCCGACGATTTTTACTCCTTTCTTCCCCCCTTCAGTCGAGTGAGTATATATCTTCCCGCGCCTCCACTGTGCATTCCGTTTTTCTGATAACGACTTCTACAGCTCAGCAAGCATCTAGAACCTTACCTGGATATGCTTCCGTCACATGTTTGTTTCGTCACCGCCATTCTCAATCACAGATGCACCCTCTGTTCGTCACCATCTTCTGCTCACAAGTGTGAGCAAGCAAAAGGGATCACAGGCGTGAGATTGGGGTACAAAGAAATGGGCTCAAAGAAAATAAACTGGGCTTAAAGACAAAAATAAAGAAAAGAGAAGAGGGGGTCGAATTCGGCCCAAACGAGGAAAGAAAGATAAGCCAAACGCGCAGTGGGCCGAATGCTCATATTAGGCCCAATCGGTCTTGGTAGGTCAAGAGTTTTTTTTTTTTTTTTTCGAGGTGTCAACAATACTCCCCTCAATCCGAAGTAGGTGTTACAACTGAGAGATTGGATCTCAACAACACGTGACGCGGACTAGGTAGTCCCTTGGTGAAGATATCTGTCAATTGATCCGTTGTAGGCACGTAGCGAATATGTAGATCTCCGGAAGCAATCCATTCTCGAACAAAGTGATAATCCAACTGAATATGTTTGGTACAAGCATGAAAAACAGGGTTAATAGCAAGACAGGTGGCAAAGATGTTGTTATAATAAATGGTGAGAGGACTATGGACCTGTTTGGTTCAACTTTCCCAAGGGGCTTTGAGCCTCCAAAGCCCTTGGGGAAAATATAAGGTGTTTGGCAAGTGTTTTTGGGGCTCCATTGGCCAAATGCTAGCCTTGGGAATGCTGAAAGCCCAAGGCAGGTAGGGAGGTGCTTTGGGCTTTCAGCATTCTCGGAATGCTATTGTGGGGGGTTTAACGACTTTTTTTCTTTCCATTATTGCCCTCACTGATAATTGTGTGTTCCACTTTTGCCCTCAAAAGTTACTATTGATCTTCTTCAGCCATTGTCTTTCATCTTCTTCAACCCATCGTCTCTGTGCTTAGTTGCTAAGTAGTCGAGGTCAAGTCGCTAGTCACCGGTCACCAAGGTCAAGGTCGACGGTCAACCCATCGTCTCTGTGTTTTTGGGGCTCCATTGGCCAAATGCTAGCCTTGGGAATGTTGAAAGCCCAAGGCAAGTAGGGAGGTGCTTTGGGCTTTCAGCATTCTCGGAATGCTATTGTGGGGTTTTAATGACTTTTTTTTCTTTTCATTATTGCCCTCACTGATAATTGTGTGTTCCACTTTTGCCCTCAAAAGTTACTATTGATCTTCTTTAGCTATTGTCTTTGATCTTCTTCTACCCATCGTCTCTGTGCTCAGTTGCTAAGTAGTCGAGGTCAAGTCGCCAGTCACCAGTCACCAAGGTCAAGGTCAAGGTCGACGGTCACTGAGGTCGAGATCCCACAGGTCGAGGGTCGACGTCGAAGTCACGCATCCTCCGCGACTCTCGCCTGGGTCGCTTCGACCGTTGAAGGGCCAGATCTAAGTCGCCCGGCGGTCGCACAACCCCAACGTTGCCTCGCCTGGCGTCGTGCATCATCCGTGGCCCTCGCCTGGCTCGCTTCGATCGTCGAAGGGCCAGATCTATGTGGCCCCGCAGTCGTGCGACCTCGGCGTTGCCTTGTCTGGCGTCGCGCATCCTCCACGACCCTCGCCTGGGTCGCTTCGACCGTCGAAGGGTAAAATCTAGGTCGCCCTGTGACCTCGTCAAAGTATTGTCTGGTGTGGCGCTATCAATCTCAGGTACCACACTGTAGCCAACAGGAGAGAGTTAGTGTTTTGATGGATTGGGGCTTTTGGATTAAGGATTTGCAGAGAATGGGGATGGGAGAGATGCTGCAAACTCAAGCCCTCTCTTCAACGAGGAAGATGAACAGTGACATTGTTTTTCTTTTTTGTTTTTATTAAATTTTAAAATAATTTGCAAAAAGCTACACTAAAAAGTAAGCAATCAAATGCATTTGCTTTGAGCAAAATACCCTTTCCCCATAGAGCCTTGGGGAAATGGCTTTGCATTTTCTCAAAGTTGAACCAAACGGAGCCTATAAAGGGGGACCCCGAGCTCACGAAGTAAATGATGAATCCAAATAGTCTCAGCAACACATTGAGCCACAGCACGATACTCAGCCTTTGCACTAGAACAAGCAACGGTGGGTTGCTTCTTGGCACTCCATAAAACATGATTGGTACCTAGAAAAACACAAAAACTGGAGGTGGACCGTCTAGTATCGAAGCATGCAGCCCAATCTGCATCCCCATAAGCAGTCAATGAAGTGGGAGAACACTGCTCAATGAGCAATCCATGGGTGGAGGTGCCAGCTAAATATCGGTATATACGTTTGATGACCTGAAGATGAGGTAATCGTGGTTGATGCATGAATTGACTAACCAAATTCACAGCAAAACTAATATCTGGTCTGGTCATATATACATACTATAGAGCACCAACCATTTGTCGATATAATGTCGGAGAGGCGAGAACCTCACCATCGTTAGTAGACAATAAAGTCTTCGAGCCTAGAGGAGTAGATACAAGCTTGATCTTAACAAGGTCAAACTTGCGCAAAGGGCTATCAACATACTTGGCTTGAGATAAAAACGTACCATCAGAGCGGTGATGAGCCTTAATGCCAAGGAAATAGTAAAGAGGTCCAAGATCCTTCATAGCAAATTCCCATGAGAGTCGAGTAATCAAATACCGTAATAACTCGGGAGTATCACCAGTGACAAGGATATCATCAACATACAGCGGAAGATACACACGACCCCGAGAAGAAGCATAGACGAATAACGAAGGATCGGCCTTACTCGCCATGAAGCCCAAAGATAATAAAAACCTGCTGAAGCGATGAAACCATGTACGTGGAGCTTGTTTTAAACCATAATGACTTTCTGGAGACGTCACACATGATTCGTGAATTCAAGATGAGAGAAACTAGGAGGTTGGCACATATAAACTTCCTCACAAAAGATGCCGTGCAAAAAGGCATTCTTGACATCAAGTTGACGTATGGTCCATCTCGAAGAAATCGCAATAGAGAGAACAACCCGAATTGTAGTGGGTTTAATGACCGAGCTAAAAGTCTCATCGTAGTCCAGTCCGGCCTGCTGCTTAAATTCTTGTGCAACGAGGCGATCTTTGAAGCGTTCCACAGTTTCATCGGATTTTTCCTTAATCTTACAAATCCATATACAACAAACTAAATTCTTAGAAGGATCAAGTGGTACAAGATCCCACGTGTGATTTGTGACCAAGGCATTAAATTCGTTTGCCATGGCCGCTTTCCAACGTGGGTCAAGAATGGCCTTAGAGTAGCAAGTCAGTGTCTCTTCATGAAAAGAATGAGAGATTAAAATTTTTTCTCAGTTTAGAAATTCTAGATTTGGCACGAGTTTGCATAGGATGAGTCGGAAGAGAAGAAATGGAAGTGGTGGAGCTGGATAGAGATGTAGAGGGGATTTGCGAGTCAGTTATGGGAGGAATTTGGTTGGGAGAGGAGTGAGGTTGGGACACAATGATTGAGTTCGGAGGGAGGGTTAGTGGAGGTGAAAAAGAATTGGAAGTAGATTGGGTAGTTCGAGAGGAAGAGAGAGGCAAATTAAGAGGTTGGGCTTGAGAAAAAGAAAGAGGCGGATGAGCAGCTTGAGGGCCAAAGGAGGTAGAAGGAAGAATAGATTGATTAGAATAAACACAAAGTGAAGGAGGTCATCTAGAACAGTGGGGTACGGGATTAAGATTTGAAAGTTTTACTGAAAAGGCAAAATTCTCCTCATCAAACCCAACATGATGACTAATAAAAACATGACCACACGACCGATCAAGGCAACGATAACCTTTGTGATTTGACGCATACCCAAGAAATACACATGGTATAGAATGAGGTGCCAGCTTATGAGAGACACAAGATGGAAGAAAAGGTTAACAAGCATATCCAAAAACCTGAAAGAACGAGTAGTCAAACTTGAACCCAAATAAACAGTGAAAAGGAGAAATATTAGATATGACAAGAGTGGGAAGTCGATCAATAGTGTAAACAGCAGTGAGAAGAGTATCGACCCAATATGAATGAGGCATATGAGCATGGATTAATAAGGTTCGAGACATTTCAACTAAGTGTCTGATTTTACGTTCCGGTAGACCATTTTGAGATGGGGTGTGTGGATATGAAAAACATTGAATAATACAATTTTCACGTAAGTATGTTTGGAACGCATTACTAGTATATTCACCTCCCCCATCAGTTTGTAAAAATTAATTTTGGTATTGCACAGATTTTCGATAAAACAATGAAAGCGATGAAAGTGTGTAGACACTTCAGATTTATTTTTCATGGAAAATACCCAAGTGAACCGAGAATAATCATCAATGAATAACACAAAATATTTGACACTAGAATTAGAGAAAATTGAACTCGTCCATACATCAGAATGAATTACGACTAAAGGAAAAGATGCATGATGACTAACAGATTCAAAAGGCAATCGATGAGATTTGCCGGCAAGACATGACTCATGTGATATCGACTTAGAACTAGAATTGCAAACACAACTCAAAACTTGTTTATTTGGATGGCCAAGACGAGCCTGCCAGCGAGTGAGTGACGCAGAGGAAGCCACGATAGGATGTAAATGAGATGACACCATTGAGTTGGAAATTGGATAAAGACCATGAGAAGAATTAGCTTGGAGGAGAAATTTCCTAGTTTGTTTGTCCTTCAAAGAAAAAGATGAACCATTAAAATCAATGACACAAGAATTTTTACGGCAAAGTTGAGCAACTTAGGAACATGATAGACGGGAGATAATAGTAAAGATGAAGAACTAGTACGTAAAATGGCTTTACCGACTTGCTTAACAGGCAATAAACGACCATCACCAACCGAGACTTTTGTCAAATCGTAAAAATGTCTAGGATTTAGGATGTTACCAATATCACTTGTCATGTGTGTCTTCACTCCACTGTCAAAATACCAAGTTGAATCAGAGGTCTCACCAGCCGAGAGAATTGAGAACAAGTCCGACAAATCAGTAGTAGCGGTAAAAGCATGGTTGAATTGTTGGCGACATTGTAGTGCGGTGTGCCCAACTCCGTTACATATCTGACAAGTAAGATAAGGCCTAGATCCGAGAATACCTCCTTGTGTAAAAGAGAGAACATAGGGCTTTGGACCACCACGAGACCGACTAGAGGAGGTGGAGGAGGCATAAGGAGCCGATAATGATTGCAAACTGAGCCGATCATAGGAAGATTGCTAACTCGATTTATTACGCGAGAATTGTCCACCTTGTCCCCGACCAGAACTACGACCTCTTGAATTACGTCCACGTCAAGATCCTTGAAACGGTGGACTGGATGAAGTGGTATAACCGATCAAAGCATGATGAATATCAGATGAAGATGATGCACTCGATTTTCAGAGAAATCATTCTTTTTTAATGAGGAGGCGTGACCACAGATCACCAAAAGAGAGAATTGTAGGGTCGTTTGTGACCATGGTGATAAAAGGATCTTACTCAGACGGGAGCCCATTGAGGGCTTGAATCACCAAGTCCAATTAATTGTGGTGAGAGAGTCCGCAATTGACTTCAATTGCTGGAGATAATCAGACATTGATTGATCGGGCTTCTTCACAACATTCTGAAAATCCAATTTTAGTCCAATTTCTTTGCCCGCGCAGTGATCAGTAAAACGTTGTCCTAGAGTAAGCCAAATCTCTCGAGATATCCAAAGGTTATGAACTTCACGGAAAATCTCGACTATTAGGGTCGAATTGATCAAACTACGAATGTATTGATCTGTCTTTACCCAGGTGGAATAGGAGGTATTGACCACTACAGTGCCAGTATGATCATTGAGAAGCTTTGGCGAACACGGAAAAGAACCATCCACATTGCCTAGCAGATTGTTGCAGATTAAAATAGATTCAAACTGAGATTTACACAAAAGATAATTATCTGCATCGAGTTTGATAGAGACAAGGCTTGTGATGTTGGGAAGAACAAGAAATGACGAGGATGATTGCATAGCCGTAATTTGAGCAGCAGCAGAGATCGGAGTAGTAGTGAAGAGGGAAGAAGAGGTGAAAGTGGGCACAATATTATCAGGAGGCGATGGAAAATTGGGATTAACAGAAAAAGAAGATGGTGGGTAAAGAGATGGTAGAGAAGGAGAAAAATTTAGAGATGTATCAGACATTGTTGAGATAGTAATTGGAGCAAATGAAGTGTTGATTTGGGGTAGAGAAGTTGAAGAATTCAATCCGTTTTCCTGCTCTGATATCATATTGATGTTTAGAGTCAGAGAGAAAATAACGACAAAATGTTTATGGTGGCTTAACCCCAATTAGGATTGTATAGGGTACAGATAAAAACATAATTATAGAAATACCCCATAATACACATAAACTACACATTAATAGAGAGATGTCCGGAAACGATAGCCTGCTGCATGCTGGTCCGGCTTTCAGGGAAACAAATTTGGTCGATCGAATTAGTCGGTCAGCAAAACGAAGAAAATGTTCCACACGTTTGAAACAAATTTGATCGATCGATTCGATCCAATGGACGCCACTGTTTGGAAGTTAGCTAAAGAAAATTACATTAAACAAGGACTTCAATTAATCAAGTCGTTGCAGCCGGTCATACTTAACTTCACTACGAAGTCACGTTCCTGCCCTTCTCGTGCCAACTTTGTAATTGGTATTTTCTGATAAATAATCTTCAACTTTGCCATAACATGATTTTCTATTTAGAAAGTTTGCTTGAAATGTCAACTCTGTAATTGGTAATATCCATCTAATTTTTCTTTTGCAATGTAAAAAAAGAAGAAAAGAAAATCATAAGGTATAGTACCATCACCTCAATCAATTCATGAGTTCTAGATGTTGGACCGGGAAAAATACATCAGATATAGCAAGTGTCTAGTACCATCACATCACGTGACGTATTTATTTTGACTCTCTCCTATAAAGGGAGTATTGAATTATTACAAAAAAACAAATGTGTTCACGCATCATGCGAATTCTTTCGTAACTAAGATCGAGCTTTTTTACAGAAAAACACCGGGAGTAAAAACAGACGGACATAGTTGTACAATAGTTTTGCATCGGGAATTAGGTCGATCCACTAAGATAATTTTACACGGAAACACGAACGGGAGTAAAAATAAGTTATCTTGACTCGAAACACACGAGGATGCTGGCACAATCTCAGGGGACCGCTCCACGCAAATTCAATCGGGTATGCTTCTTTTATAAAAACATCATGGGTAGCAGAGACGATTTTGTTGTAATCACCCATGAAATTGGGAAACGCAATTTTTAGCATGTAGGCTTTATATATGTTACAAGAAAAATGTTGAGGTTGATGTCTTGTATTCTGTTATCCAAGAGATTATAAGGCGGTTCCGAAAGGCCCCCTGACGACTGGACAGCACGGGGGTCCCACTCCCCGGTGAGCGGACGGGGGTCCGAGGGGGCCGCCCCGGCGGGGGTCGCCCCGATGGGGGTCGCGGGGGCAGCGCTCCCGGGCCGCCAGAGGCGTTTTATGTTCAGTCATAGAAGGATTTATATGGGAAAGCCAAATATTTTAGGCTATGTGGGCAATTTTGTAATTTGTGCCATATAGGGTTTCGCTATATATATTTAGGGCGAAACGGGTATCTAGAATAGAGGCAGGGGGTGAGAAAGAGTGGCTGTATACTTTTCTACGTTATTAGTGAAACGGATCTTTTCTCCCCGTGAACGTAGGTAGGCGGAATATCTCCCCTGTTAAACCACGTAAATTCTTGTGTTGTGCGAATTTTCATTATTTTCT